AATAGTGTACTGAACTTCATGATAGAAAATTTGTAGTGATTAGGATTTTAAAACTATTAAATCATAGAAAATATATATCTGGGACTTCAAAAAAAGGACACTTAATTTTCATTACCTAAAAAAATTAGGGATTGTTAAAGCATGCATAAACAAGCAACAATTGAGGTTAAATACCAAATATAGCTCGAATTCTTTTTAATGTGGAACTGGAAAAGGAGTTAAGACTCCAAACTCGGAGGATGACTCAATTCTATTTATTAAATTTAGAAAAATACTAATTTAGGATTCCAACATAGTGTAAACAAGTACTACCTCCGTCCCAAAATAATTGTATTTCTATGATTCAAACTTTGTCCCAAAATAATTGTAATTCTAGAGTACTAAATTGCCCCATCAATCATCTCTCATTCAAATTTCTCCCTATTATACCCTCAACCATCTTCCCACTCTCACATAAACACCATTTAATGAGGGGCACCATAGTCTTTCTTCTCAAACCTTAATATATACTAAACAACATAGAATTACAATTATTTTAGGACGGAGGTAGTATTTAACTTCAATTATTAAGGTAGTACGGAAAAGGAAATTAAAGTAACAAAAGAAATATTTCATAGCATTCTATTTGCAATTTTATAATTAATAATTTGGACTTTTGGAACTAACAGAAAAATAAAATGGTATAATTTTTGGAAGTTATTTAGTGTATAGAAATACACTATGAGTTTGTTTTGCTTAGTTCCTAGTATATATTAACTAAGATATACTTCCTTTGCTTGTCTAGATATCATTTTGTGTGTCATATCGAAACGATCCGTATCAAAGTTAGACAAGGAGCAGGGATCAATCATCATATATCATATTAATTATATATTTTAAAAATAATCTTGCATTAATTGAGGTGAGCTAACAGTGACAATGGGACAGGCCACCCACAAACGCCAATGACATAACATGCATGTGTAAAATCAATTTTTTTATTTACTTTTTTTGATAAATAATTGGCATACAAGTTGAGTATATTTGATTTTGATGTTTGCTGACTATTGGGCGAAATGGTTCTGGATAGCTGGACCGACCAGGCTTACTAAAGATGAACAGGCATGTTGGCAAGGTAGGGACCGGACAGATCGATTGGTATTGATGGGCCGGTCGGAAGGACCTAATTTTTTCCTTGTGATCATCATATCGTCTCGAGATCTGTGTATTTTTTGGAAAAAATTGCAAAAAAAATTTCGCATATACTATAGTTATATTATACATGCTCACAAGGAAAGTTTATACATGCTTATTATAAGTTATATTTGAAAGTTTTCATTTAAATTGTAGTTACTCCAGGTAAAAAGAGTAAGACTCTATTTGGAAGATTAGCCCGGGGCTAATTTTGAGAGCTAATGTTTAGTCATAAATTGGTAGGTTAAACATTAGCCTATGGTAGCATGTTTGGATATATGGGCTAATTCAAAACTAAAAGGTGGAGAGAGAGAGAGTAGAAAAAGCTGAGATAGAGGGAAAGAGAGAGCTGTTTGTTTGACGGTCCCCCCATAAAATTAGCCCCATTAACACCCTTTGGAGGGGCTAATGTTTTGAGGGGTGGCTAATTCACTTTAGCCCTAAATTAGCCCACCTTTTTGGATCCTTGACGGCTAATTCATGGCTAAAAGGTGGGGGCTAATAATTAGCCCATGGAATCAAATATGACCTAATTACACTTTAATTACACTTACTTACGCTGAGTGGGAATGAGCTATAAGATCTAGCAGCTATGAGTCCAATGTCTATGGCCCCACTGCCATCCTCTTTTAATAGTGAATTAAATTATTGTGCCCTCTCTATTTAAAGTTTTGTTGGGTTATAGAGTCCGACTTTCACTCTATCACCTATATAATTTATTACAACTTTAAGTCTAGACTTTATATTCAAAACATATGTCTTAACAATTTTCACAAGTAATTGTAGACCATACATAGGGCTATCTCACCATTATATTATATTATGTGGATTTTCTTATGCCCCGGCTGTAGAAAATGCATTTTTATGTAGTAATTCATTCTTATAGGATTGAATCACAAGAACTAAACCAACCAGAGGGGGGTGAATGGTTGGTATACCCAAAAACCGAAAACTTTTAGCGGAAATAAAAGTTACCTTCGAAATCGATAGATCGCGATCTGACTGAAGTAGATGCACCGGTCTGACTGCCTGGTTGCCATCGGTCTGACCGAGATTCAATCTCCAGTTTGACCGCCGAGATCAGCTGCCGCTTGCTGTCGCCGCCGCCGGTCTGACCGCCGTGCTCCTGCCGGTCTGACCGCCGCTTGCTGCCGGTCTTACCGCCGGTGAGTTGCCGGTTAGACCGCCGCACCCGATGAAACACAAATCGAAGAACTCTTAAAGTAGATGACAACTTTATTACTTCTCTCTGTGTTTACAAAGTGCAACACCAGCACTCCTTACAAAAATCACGACTAAATCGAAACCCTAAAACACAACGCTATGAAAAGCGACACAAAAGAGATACAGGGAAGCCTCACGCTCCCCCTCTATTTATACATGAGGTAGGCAGCCCAAAGCCACGAACCAAACTCATACTAGATGTCCTAATCCACCTAGGAAACCCTCTAGTACAAGAAACAAACTTAACATAACCAATCATACCAAATTTGGACTCCTTCCAAATTCGACTCCGCATCCCATACGCACACAATACCTCCATCGTATGCCATATGGAATCTCCATCAACCACGTGCATCAACTCTAGCCTTACTATCCTGCATGATATCTGACCACCACGGACATCGTCTTACCACCAAGCCGACTCCCGGTCCATCACCGTAAATATTCTCCCGAGGCATCGAGTCACCTACACATGAAACAAACAAAGAAACCATATTCCGAGACCAAGCTATCACCAACTTGACTCATTGTTAGCAAACAACAGTGTTACATACGTATAGTATCCATCTAGAAGCCATAACCATGAAACAATCACGGATATCCAAAGAAACAACCCGAAACCGACACAGCGTCGGCCAGTCAGACCGCGGGCCGGCCGGCCTGACCGCTCAACACAAGCCGGTCTGACCGGCAACCACCGCCCGGTCTGACCGGTCCCGATAAAACAGTAAACCCTGTTCATCACCTGAAAATCAGATATCTCCAAAACCACTTCAACAGTAATCTCCATCTCCAAAACCACTTCAACAGTAATCTCCAAATATCAAAACCAATAATCACAGATGCCAATTGTTCATCACAGAATAAGAATCAAAATACACGTTGATCTTACAATTCTTTCCTGCTCTTAAGTTTGGACCAGCAATAGTACTCAGTGGATAGGCTTTTGCCCATCCTTCTTTAGTTCTTCAGACTTCAATGATACATGTTGGGTGGTACAGGGGCTTCACCGTGTAATGAAGTGGAGAAGACACCAGTCATCTGGATGGGTCGTCCATGTGTATCGGCAATCAGTTTTCTCAGTTGCACCTGAAAAGGAAAAATGCTACGTCCAGCTTTGCTTGCCTTATTCTTCATTCTACACCATCGCTGCCTTCGATGACCTTCGCCATCAGCATAGCTCCGGCCGCCAGGACGTGTGTGCACCGTGCAGCGCTATTTATTGGACAGATTCGTTGTCCTAAAATGGATCAAATCTTATCCAAAGATTCTGTCCAGATTCGTTATTCTAGGATGGATAAAATTCCATCTTAGATACTAGTAACATTTTAAGACAGAGGAAGACAAAGGAAGTAGAAGTAGCGAGCTACCGAGGATGCCGGGTACACCCCATGCTCCACTGATGATAACCCCCTCGGAAATTAGTAGCAGGCAGGTGTGTAGCAAGGAACATCAGCGACTCACTAATATCCATGTAGGCCTTTTGCCCTTCTATGATTTTATCACCGGGATATACACACACACCCGTATACACGATCTTTGGTTTAAGACTGCTGGCTCTCATTTATATATCAATAGTCAAACTACTGGTGGAGAAGTGTACATCTCTCCCGCGGTTTACAATTCCTTTTACTCCCGGATAGCGAATCGGGAGGAAGAATTCAGGATTAAAGATGGCGGTCTCGGATAATCCGATCCATAAAAGATCACTTCTCTAGTAGTAAGTTTATTAATTACTGTTAATTAAACGTGACAGCTTTTTGTCTGAATTACTACTCAGCATGTAGCTGTCGGCGGAAAGTGTGTTGTATTGATGTGGCCGATTAACGAGGTGAACTCCTCAAATTGATAAAAAATAATTGTGATATTACGTACGAGTACTAAATCTGTCTGTTCTAGTATAAAACTAGCGAAGTTTGTATTTAACTCTCTGTTACATGATCCAATTATGCATTTCAAAATGGTAAAATGGACGAATCGCAATAAGCCAATAGCCCATACAACGCAGGTTGACCGGACGAAAATAAAGGCCGAAGTCACAACTTCGTACTTTTTGTTTGTTGTTATAGCTGATTGCCGTGACACGACACTAACCACACACATAAACATAGTATTGTTCGTCGGAACGACACTAACCACATGGTACTGACGTTAGCCAAAGCTGCACGATTTTATTTAACTTATCCGTAGTTTCGGAGTACAAACGTGACACGAATGCATTGCACCATGTATTACCGAACACTACTGCTTCAGACTTCACAACACCGTCATGTCATCTTCTTGAATTGGTTTTCATATGTATGCCGAAAACCAATTCAAGAAGATAATCGATATGATGGTGCTGTGAAATCATTCATATGAAACCAATTCAAGAAGATGATCGATATTGATGGTGGTGTGAAAGTCATACATATGAAAACCAATTCAAGAAGATGATCGATATGATGGTGGTGTGAAAGGCATAAATATAAAAACTAATTCAAGAAGATGATCTACATGATGGTTGTGTGAAGTCTGAAGCAGTAGTGTTCGGTAATATATGGTGCAATGCATTTGTGTCGCATTTGTACTCCGAAACTACGGATATCCCGTTCTGCTCGGTGTCAGTTGCCGGCGTTCACATTGCTGACCGTCAGGGTGGAGTCACCAACACCATCAAAGGTGAACCCAGAGCCTCGCAACTCGTCCTCGACAACCCCGTCAAGCATCGCTGCCATCTCGGTTGACATGTGGTTCCTCCAATCGCCAGCCACCCCCTTTCGGAAAAAGAAATCGTTCCCAAAAGTGGCACCCAGGTTCAGGACACCAATCTTGTTGACCTCCAAGCTCCTGAGATGGTCAAAGCTACAGAGCTCGACGATGGCATCCACAACCCCGGCCGTTTCCTCCTCGCTGGAGAACGGGCGGCCCACGAACTCGGCCAGCTTCCTCACGTTGCGTGCCGGCTCACGGATCATCTCCTCGTATCGAAGAAACAGCACCTTGTTGTTTGGCCTTCTCTCACTCTCCTCCCAGTATTCGACGACATGACGCCAATCCGGGCCAGTGATACACCGGCCTTTGCAGAACAACTCCAGCGCCTGATCCATCGTGTAAGGTGGCTGATGATCTAAGTTTCCACCTTTAGCTTCAGCTGCGGAATTGTCCATGATCTTTCGGCTGAACAGCCACCCGGAGACCAGCACGTCCTTGGGATCACGGCAAACATACACGATCCGGCAGCCGGAGTCGTCCGACGTGATGTGCTCCGGCAGGAGGGAGTAGGGGACGTGCTGTTACACCTGCAGCTACTTCCACTATACCCAGTCCGACAACTTCAGAGGTAGCGAACCCGGTTCGGCATCAGGTGCGACCGAGGCGGACGAGACGTGCCAATGTTCGAGTGACCGGACCTGAATGGGGTGGATGACAGCTGTAATCAGTGCATCTATATAAGCACTTGTGTAATAGGAGAAGGATATCGAACATTTGAACAATTAAAACTATCCCCCTAATACAATCCTTTCTCCTGCCAACTCTGTTCCTTCCTCTGTTCTTCTCAAACCCCTCCTCTGTTCTTCCTCACCTACTCCTCTTATCCAAACTAGCAAAATGCCCGTGCTTCGCTACGGGTATAATAAAAGGTTAAATGCTATAAATACACAATTAACATGTATATAATAATGTTCCAAAATAGATAAATTATTCAGTGGGTTAATGATAATCAGGACTGATAAGAAACACTATTGCATATTGATATACTCATATTTTCATAACATGCACTCTCTCTCAACTCTTGCATGGCAAGCGCCTAATATAATTATTTCTAAAATCGAACATGGACTTGCGTGGAGATGAATCGTTTTCACGGCTCATGCGTGGACGATAGATGGTGCGGACTCTAATATGTCGTGTTTTGCAGATGACAAAAAGAAAAAAAAATATGTTTAATTTTCAAATTAAAAAATGGTTCATTATAAGATTTCAGAATCACTAAATATCTTTTGAAGAAAGAGGTGCAAAAACTTCTGATTTTTTAGCCATCGGATTCATGGTAAGCGCTTGATATAATTTCTAAAATCGAACACGGACTTGCGTGGAGACGAATCATTTTCACGGCTCATGTGTGGACGATAGATAGTGCGGACTCTAATATGTCATGTTTTGTAGATGATGAAAAGAAAAAAATAATTATGTTTAATTTTCAAATTAAAATCTGGTTCATTATAAGATTTATCACTATCTGTTGAAGAAAGAGGTGCAAATAGATGGCGCGGACTCTAATATGTCGTCGTGTTTTGCAGATGATGAAAAGAAAAATATAATTATGTTTAATTTTCAAATTTAAAAGTGGGAGGGAAAGTAGACTTATTCTGAGTAGGATTTGAGCTGTGGGAGGCAAAGTAGACTTATTCCGAGCAATTGAAGAAAGAGGTGCAAATAGATGGCGCGGACTCTAATATGTCGTCGTGTTTTGCAGATGATGAAAAGAAAAATATAATTATGTTTAATTTTCAAATTTAAAAGTGGGAGGGAAAGTAGACTTATTCTGAGTAGGATTTGAGCTGTGGGAGGCATTGTAGACTTATTCCGAGCAATACAGCCTAGGAAAGGTGAAGTAATGAGATGTGGGAGGCACAGTAGACTTATTCCGAGCAATATAGCCGTGTATAAAAAGGAGAGATGATGGGAATCGAACCCTGGTGGGCAGGTTGAAAATTTTCTCGACCAACCAGGCGGGCAAGCTACTACTTGTGATTGATGGATACATGACTGATACATATCATATATTAAGCAAGGTTTTGGAGTAGATTGGAAAATTTCCGACCGACTATTAAGCGGATTAAAACGTATTTTGGCAGGAAACCGCCGACGGACGAAAAAAACCTCACGGAAGCCTTACGAATTTTTTTATTAGGTATAGATCTCTCTATCGGTTCGTAACATACTGGTATCAAAGCAAGTCGAACCTAGATTATTTGGAGAAACCTCGTTATCACTCGCGAGCTCAGCTCAAATCTCAGGAGATGGAGCAGCAACTCGCGGAGCTCGTGGCGGTGGCGACGAATATCCAGAAGCAGAACACGGTAATCCAGACGTCCGTGGGGGCGCTCGAGGAAATCAAGCCACTGGTGGTGGAGCTCTCGGGTTGGAAGCCGGCAATCGATAAGGCGGTGTCTGATTTGCGCGACGAGTTGGGGGATCTACGTCACCAAGTTGGCCAAATCGTGCGCAATCCAGTCCTCGCCATCAAGCCGACTGATCTGCCTCCACTACTCTCGACTCCGCCGGGATCTCGCGCAGGAGTCAAGCCCAAGGAGGAAGGGGAATCCTCTCAACGGCCATTTGGCCCCGGCGCTGCAACATCTACCCGGGGGAAGGCGATTAGGGAGGAGTCCTCCCCATTGTCTCCTCCGGACAAGAGTACGTCTCCTTTTCCCAAATCCCCTAGATCTGTGTTCAACCATCAAGAGTTTGGGGATTTTCCGGGGAGAGGTTTTGCTCATGGGTACCAAGGGAGTACACCGCGTGTAGATTGTCCTCAGCTCGATGGCATGGGTCCTAGAGCTTGGAAGTTGAAATGTGAAACTTATTTCAAAGTGAGTGGGATTAGTCCCGAGTTCCATGTAGGAGTCGCAGCTTTGCAGTTCATAGGAAGTGCGATTACTTGGTTACAGTCTTCTAAGGCTCATGAGGAATTAGAGAACTAGGAGGAGTTCTCGGAAACTGTTTGTCTAAAATTTGGTCGTGAAGAGTTTCAGAGCTTGGTCCGTCAGTTTAATCGTTTGCGTCAAGTAGGGTCGGTTAGCGCCTATGCAGAGAAATTCAGTGAACTCATGCATAATCTCCATGCTCATCACTCTTCATGGAATTCAGAGTTTTTTGTTACTCAATTTTTGGATGGGCTGCGAGCAGACATTCGATCTGCCGTGGTACTCCATCGTCCTGTCGACTTGGACACTGCTGTCGATTTGGCCTGTTTACAGGAGGAGGTGTTGGAGACCAACCGGAGGGAGGCACGCCGGGTGGATTTCTCTAGCAATGGGCGTCCTGGAGCGAAACCTGGTGTTCCTGTTCATCCGCGACCAGGATGTAACACCCTGAAAATTCGACCAACAAAAATCAAAACTCTAAAAATACGGACCTTCAAAAACTCTTTAAATAAATTGCATCATACCGGTCTTATTCGCCTATTTCATTGGATTTCGATTTCGGAGTTCATTAATCGCGAGTAAAGAATAACTAATTAGGAATAAACCCAAAAATTAATTTGGCTAAATAAATAATTGAAATACAATTTAAAATAAGGATTAGGCGAGGATAGAAATAAATAGAATATTATCGCGACCATATTGGTAATAATTAAATTTAAGTGCATGGAATAAGATTTAGCCCTAATTAAAATTCAAATAAATTATATAACAATAAAATATGGGTAATATTAATCTAGGGTGAATCCAGTGGTTAGAATAACACAAATATTGAGTAAACTTCATTTATGCAAAAATTAGAATTTATAGGGCAATATTTAAATAGAAAATAGACTAAATTAGGGTTAATAGGAGCTTGCACTGTTCATTGCACAGTAGGTGTTCGACGAGGTTCCCTAGCCCTGCCCCCTCCTCTGCCGCGCCGCCCTCGCGCCCCGCGCGTCGCGTCGCCCGCCCGTCGCGTCGCCACCCGTCGCGTCGCCGCCTCGCGCCCCGCGCCGCCACGCCGTCGCATCGCCGCGCGTCGCCGCCGCCCCAGAGCCCGCGCCGCCGCGCCGTCGCGTCGCCACGCGTCACCGTCACCCCGAGCCCCGTGTCGCCGCACGCGTCGTGTCACCGCTCGCTCGCCGCCTGCCCGTCGCGTCGCCGCCCCGAGCCCCGTGCGCCGCCGTCGTGTCGCCATTAAGCCGGCCCACCCTCTCCTTCTTCCCCCTCTCCCCTATAAATAGCCCCAACCCCTCCCCATTTCTTCCCACCCATTCCCCTCTTTTCTCCTCTCTTCCTCTCCACCACGCCGCCGCCTTCGTGCTGCCGCGCCGCTCCCCTCGGTGCCGCCGCGCCGCGCCGTGTGCCGCGTCGTGCGTTGCCCCGCCTTGCGCCGTCGTCGCCACCGCCGTCGGTAAGCCGCCCCACCTCCCCGGTTGGTCGCCGTTGCCGCCGGGTAGGTAGAGAGCCGAGAGGGAAGGGAGAAGCCGGGTGAGAGAGAAAAAGAAAGAAGAAGAAATAAAAAGAGAGAAAAATAAAGAAAAGAAGAGAGAAAAAGAAAAGGAAAAATAAATAGAAAACTAGAGAGAGATTAAGGTGGTTTAGAAAATTTAAATAATTAGAATTTAATTATAGATTATTGGTAGTCGTATAATTGCAAGGTTTTATATAATCATAGATTATTTTGGAGATTCTTAGGAGTAATCGGTTCATGGTAGATATACGGATTTAATTACTAAGAATTGTATTTTGCGTTGAATTTTAAAGGAGGTACTTCTGAATCACAAAATGACTTAGGGTGAATGAGCTTAAAATTGGAATAAAGTGGTTTTGCAAACTTTGTAGTCGATATAGAAAGATCGATTCGCGTTCGACTTTTATTTGAGTTTATTTAGATTTTATTTGAATTCTAATTGAATTCAAATCATTTATTCGCACGTAATTTTTAGAACCCGAGGGAGTTGCGGATCCGAGTGAGGATCAAGACCCACAGGACTACGAGCAAGGCAAGTCATCACTATTCCTTGAACATATTGATCCCAATTGCGAAATTATTTTGTTTACAAATAAAATTGCATGCAATGATAAACATCCTAGTTGTGATTATGCCATGCCTTGATTATTGTTTACCCCTTATTCCTTCGTAACCATGTTTACGTATGAGTCCCTAGTCAACTATGACAATTGCTTAGAAATGCTATTATAGAATCATGCATACTCATATTTATCAAAATGCTTTATGCTTGGGAAATTACCTTTGGGAAGGTAATTGAGATGCGGCATGTGGAGACATGAGCGCCACATTGCCATGATATTGATGACATGATTTATGAAAGGAGAAATAAAACTAAACAACTGTTTTCGACTGGGGCGGACGGAGGATTTGGGTGGTATCTGGAAAAGGCTAGTACCGTCCCCGGTCAATTAAGGACCGAGCCATGAAGTTAAGCATGAAACGACCCCCGTACAACTGTACTTTTCGAATGGGTATAGACCTAGCGGATTAGATAGCCGAGCGGAGGCAGTATCCCTACATAGATGGTTCACCCCTGAGTGAGGCAGGTGCGCTACGGTGGGGCAGCCGTTGAGGTAAGGCC